GACCCTCGCGATACGCGACCCTTTCACTAGAGAAACAGCATACGCCACCCGCGTGACCCTGGCTAAGGAACCCACTCACTTAGCTCCGGGGCTACAGCACCGTCAGGACCCAGGAGAACTGTGGGTCTCTTAGTCCGTCCCCACTGAGTCCCCACCGAGCTTCCGGTCCTGCCGGAAGCGGCTTTTTCACGTACTTGAGAGCTGTTTGGCTGTTAGAGGTCAGACGTGCTCCCTAGCCCAGGCCTCCTCCCTGCGGCAGGGCGGGGCCGGTTGGTCCTCTGTGGATCCCACTCCTTTCCAGGAAGTAAGGGACTGCAGCACCCTGGCTGGGATGCTCATGTGCCTACCCTGGAGAAATGGAGGGGAAGTGTGGAAGAGCATGTTCTCTACCAGACCCGTAACCAGACCCGTAGACCCACCAGACCCGTAGACCCAACAGGAGGGAAAAAGTGCAAGGGAAGGTGGCTGGATAGTACTGAGGAGTTCTTGCAGAAATCGCCTACTGGGGACCGCAGAGTAGCAGAGCCAGAGTGCTTGGGTTCCAGTTCCAACCCATTCCCTAACTGTGGGTTTGCAGATATTTTGTTAGCTCTCTGCCTCTTTCCTCTGAGGTATGTGAAGACCAGTGGCTACTACGCAGGAATCGTGGGAAAATTTCGGGGACTTGATAGTACCTCTTCGTTCATGTAAATATTTTCTGTTGTTATTCCCATTCAGTGCTTTTCCTCATTACTTGGACTTTGTTTTTTTGGGTCACAGCCATCATCTCTTGTTTAGGTCTAGCACTGCCAGAGATGAATGATATGGTATAGAAAAGTTGCTTACCCCAAAGCATGCTTTGCTCGTATCTCTCCCGATCATCTAACCTAACTCAAGCCTCTCGACCCACCCCTTTTACTTAAAAAACAAAAATAAAGACAGGGCATGATTGCGCAAGCCTCTAATCCCAGCACTCGCGTCGCAGAGGCAGGCAGATCTCTGTGAGTTCAAGGCCAGCCTGGTCTACATAGCGAGCTCCAGGCCAGTTGAGGCTACAGGGACACCATGTCAAAATAATGATGATGATGATGGTGATGATGAGGATGATGGTGATGATGATGATGATAAATAGAAAATTTTAAAAACCCATCGGACTGGAGAGATAGCTCAGTGATGAAGAGTGCTGGCTGCTCTTGCAGAGGATCTGAGTTCAGTTTCCAGCACCCATGGGAGCTAACAGTCCATAACTCCAGTTCTAGGGGATCCTACACTTTCCTCTGGCCTCCACAGGCACTGCAAGCACAGGTGTATGTGCAATACATGAACGCAAAACGCATACACATACAATAAAAATAAAGCAAAAATTAAAAACCTTGCATTTATGTATGTATGTATGTATGTATGTATGTATGTATGTATGTATTTTGTGCGTATGTGGGGTGGAGGACAACTTTTGGGAGTCGGGTCTCCTTCCACCATGTGGGTCCCAGGAATAAAACTCAATTGTCTGGTTCAGCAGCAAGCCCCTTTGCCTGTTGAGCCATTTCATCAGCTCCTCCTTTTCCTTTTCCTTCTCCCCAACCCCTCTTCTTTTCCTTTGCCTACAATCAGTATTGCTGAGTGACTAAACAGACTCCTAGAAATTTTTTTGTTTGAATCCCCGCTAACCCTGCACTTGAAAATGACTGAAGTACATTCAAATTCTTTTCACAAACATCTGTTGAAGCTCGCCAGCAAATAGTTCTTTGCCTTACTTCCTTTGCTAAGCAACTGAGAATCCAGCAGAAAGGTTGGAAGAACATAAAAATGGTGATCATATCTTTTTGCCCAATATTCAAAGAAATTTTTTTGTTTGAATCCCCGCTAACCCTGCACTTGAAAATGACTGAAGTACATTCAAATTCTTTTCACAAACATCTGTTGAAGCTCGCCAGCAAATAGTTCTTTGCCTTACTTCCTTTGCTAAGCAACTGAGAATCCAGCAGAAAGGTTGGAAGAACATAAAAATGGTGATCATATCTTTTTGCCCAATATTCAAGTGAAAATAACTGATAATTTTCTAATTATAAAGGTTTTTTTTTCCTTTGACGTAGGGTCTCATGTTACTATGGCTAGTCTTGAACCTCCTGTACATATACCTCCCAAGCACTGGAGAAGTGGAGGCATAAGTCACTACACCCAGTTGGGGTTGTTTTTGTTTTTTGTTTTTTGGTGTTTTTGAGACACAGTCTCCCTGTAGCCCCAGCTGGCTTGGAACTCACTGTGTAGACCAGGCTGGCCTCGAACTCACAGAGATCTGCCTGCCTCTGCCTCCCTCCCAAGTGCTGGGATTAAAGGCATGGGCCACCACACCTGGCTGGGGTTCTCTTTTTTAATGGGAGAAAATCGTGGACAAAGTTTAGTTATATTGCCACTAGTTTTCTACACATTAAGATTTACCCTGAGTAGTGTGATATTAAAGAATAGCTATGCAAAGGAACTGTAAGAGTTTAAAATGTGCTACTTTAACATTGTATTATCTTGAGCTAAAGAAAGTCGAGAATCAAGTGATATAAAAATGTTAGACCACTAAGAATTACAACCAAAATACAACTCCAGTTGGAATACAATGATTTAGGTTATTCTAATTAGTGATGAGAACAGGAGATAGAAACTGGTCAGACAGGGCAGGGACCCTTATAGAGGTTCAGCACCGAAAGTAACCACAGACACAGGGAATGCTTATTTCAAAGACAGCAGAGGGCTCAGCACCTCCAGGGGGAGAGCCCTGAGTGCCCTTTTGCTTTTCCTTTTATTGGCCTTGCAAAACAATTACAGCATGAGAAGCAGAAACACAGTAGTGATTTCTCACAGGACACAACGTTTTTCCCAGCTCCTTTTCCCCAGTTACTGTCTAGGCACAAAGTCCTGTGATGGCTACTGACTATCTTCAAGGACATCCTGGGCTTTGGAATAACAAGCTCAAGATGAAGGTTGTGGTGTCAGTGTGCTGGCCAATACCTCCACACAGCTCCTTGTGTGCAAGGAACTTCATGACATTCATCCAACTTGCTTCTGACCTTCCAAAGAAGTTTGTCCAGTTAACTCTATGTTGCCCAATCTCTTCTCTTTATACTATTTAGTTCCCTTCAGACCCTGAAGCAGCAGCTCTGAGCATATCCTTTTGGGAGGTCAAGAATGTCAAAAGAATGTTCTGGTTACTGGTTCCTTGTTACCTCTTACTTTTGCTTGGAAGCTATACATGAGAATATGGCTGAAGCTGAGAGGAGGCACTGAGACAGGTTATGGTTGGGCCAGCTGGACTGACCAGCTTGTCTCCCTCCCATGTCTCATCCCAGTTTCTAACATAAGCCCTTTAAAAAGCCCCTAGACAAGCAGCTCAATGGTAGACCATTCCTGGGGACCTGCACCTGCTATACAGGCACCCTGCCTTCTCTTCCTCTTAAGCTCCTAATGATGAATCTATAATAAACTTCTCTCTAAAACATACGTTATGTAGTCTGTGAATTCCAGTCTTATTTGCAGGACAAGAATCCAAAGTCACTGGTGCCTTTTTAAGCCTTTGCAGACATTATATAACTTACATATATACATATAGATTTATTGGGTCTTATATAATACCTGATAATTAATATTAGTACTTTAGGATCAAAGAACCATGAGCTGGCAAGATAGCTAAGCAGGTAAAGGTGCTTGCTGTCAAGCCTAATGATCTGAGTGTGCAGGTCCCTGCAAAGGCCAGAGGAGGGTGTTGGTGGTTCCCTTGGAATTGCAGTTACACATTGTTGTGTGTCACTGGACATGGGTACTGAGAACCAAACTCCTGCACTCCTCTTTTTTTTTTTTTTTTGGATTTTTTGAGACAAGGTCTCCCTGTAGCCCCAGCTGGCCTGGAACTCACTTTGTAGACCAAGCTGGCCTCAAACTCACAGAGATCTGCCTGGGACTACAGGCGTGCACCACCACGCCTGGCCAAGGATGTGTACAGCTTTTTTTTTTCCATTCATATTTAAAAATTCAGGCAATTTGTATTTATTAAGAAATTATAAAAATACAAAAGCCTTGAAATCTAATTCACAAATAAATGGAAAATCTGAATATATACATATACTGACACTCATTTCATAACTTAAAAACACTGCAAAGTATATCCATGGTCATAAGATTCAGTAGTGAATTGTAGTAGAATCTTAAGCTAGAATTACTGCTAGGATTTTATAAAGTCTTCCTTAATATGGGAACAAAAGCTTGATAATGATGAGACATTTACATAAAAATAAGACAAAAGCATCAAGATAACAAAAAAGCTTCTGTCAGTTTTACCAAACATAAAAAAACTTTGAACAAAATTCTAGACAATTGAACACAGTAAACTAACAAAGATTATACATGGTGACCAATTAAGAGTTATTCCAAGAATTTATAAAATGGTATATATCTGAATGACAATTGTTATAATAAATTATATGAAATTCTAAGACCCTTTTAAGGTAAGAAAATTCAATAAACTAAAACATGCTAGGGAACTCTCTTCAGGCTGATGAAGGACTAATATTTAAACATACAACTGTTATTTCATGGATACTAGGCAATGGAGAAACCTTGAAACTAAATCAAGAATAAGGGAAAGCAAGCCACTTTTATCTCTTCCATTCAGTGTTTTACCAGATTTATTGGTGGTGCAATTTGTAAGGGAAAATGTATTTGAAACAAGAAAATTTGTAGATAGCTGGAACTTTGCAGGCTAATCCGAAGAGATCCGGCTTATGGTTATGAGTAGAAAGAATTTCAACAAGGTTGAAATATACAGTATAAATGTAAACAAATTATAACCGTATATTTTTAGAATGAATAATTTTTTTTGTCTTTATATTGAATTTTTTTTATTTAAAAATCTTTTTTTTACAATTAAAGTTACAGTTTTAACAATATGCAAAATATTACAGTAATTCAGATTTTAATTGTAAAAAAAAATTTAAAAAAAAAGAAATTCACATGTCAAAGTCACAGAGAATTTCTTT